CAAAATAGTACTCCTTGCTTATTTCCTGGCCCCTCTCACGACAATAAACTTCACAGGAGCAGGATTTTTTCATCTGTTTTGTACTTATATTAGCCTCAGTGAAAATTGGGGCTGGTGCTTAGTGGATAACCAATATGTATTAAAAAGAACTACCAATAAATTTCATAGTGTATGGTCTGGATCAAAACTCTCCTACAAGGTTTATGTGTTCAGAAGTGGGGGCTTTGGGAAGTTGATTAAACCACAGAGGTGCTGACCTCATCAATGGATTAGCCCAGAGGTGATTTCACAGGTGAATAGGAGGAGGTGCTGTTAGGAGGTGGGGTCAAGTTGGAGGAAGTGGCTTACTGGGGACATAGCCTTATCCCTAGCCCCTTCTTAGCTCTTCCCCCTTCTCTCTAATTCCTGGTTGCCATGGAGTGAGCAGCCTTCCTCTACCATTGCCTTCTGCCATGAAGTTTATGCCTTGGAACCAGCTGACCATGACCCGATACCTCAGGAACTGTAAGCCAAATAAATCATTCCTTTTTTGAGTTGTTTCTCTCAGGTATTTGGCTATGGGCACAGAAACTCAAATAATGTATAGTAATAAAACAAGTAGACTTAGGAAAACAATGACAATGGAGGATTTTTAAATCTGGATTTAATTTTCAAAGAAAAAAAGTAAATATAGCTAATAACTTCTTTGGAAATAGGTCAGTAAATGAAATAAAAATTCCTGAAATCACTGCCATCCATTTAAAGTATCAGTCCCTTAAGTGTCAATGCTGGGCGGGCTACCACAGTCAACTGGTGGCTCAGGTGGTCTTCCACAGTGCAACACAGCGGGAGCAGATCCTTTCCACGCAACATGCTTGCAGCTTTTATTTGTTGCACTGATATTCACTGGGAATTTTGGTATGCAGTTTTCTCTTTTGTTGTGGTTTTTCTTTCCTTGTCAGGTTTTGCCTACTCTTTGGTTATTATCTCAAAAGGAATTCGATGATGTCAGTGTTTGTTTTCAAATGTTTCCTGAATTACACTGTATGTAATCTTGTTGTCTACCTTTATTGTGTACCCTGTGGGAGTTCCCTGTATATCACAGGGCTCCTGCATTGGTTCCAGGTGATCAAAAGCACCCTAGTAATACCAGGTGACTCAGGCTTAAACACAGACCATCTAGTACATTGGACAGTTCTGTTCGTCAGCTGATTCGTGCATCTGTCTTGAACATCATTACTACTGTCAGGGTGAGTGGCCTTAGCAACAACAGAAATGTCACTAAGACGCTTGAGTTTTGTGCACTGCACCTGTTTGCTTCCAGCACTATTCCAACTGTGCCATATGTGTTACCTACTTGCTTAACTGGTGTTCTGTGCCTGGGCCTCACAGCCTGGCCATGTAACTGCATGGTGAGTATCCTCTACATACACCAGCGACGTGTTCAGTACGTCCACAGCGTCCACCGTTTTACTATCTTCTCCCCTGAGACCAGAGCCCCCCAAGCTATCCTGCTTCTGTTGTACACAGTTGTCACCTCTACGCACCCTCTCCCAGCCTGGTCCTTTATCATGTACCACTGTACAACCCACAACCGTGGCTAGTGCACGTCTTCGTTTGTGCACACCTTTCCCCACCTTTTCCCTTTTTGTATTTATCAGTCATAACGACTCTGCCTCCAGGCTCTATTTTTCCACTGGAGCAAAAGGCGATTTTCTTTACATTTGACAAGGTTTGGGGGGTTGTGCCCGCTCCACCATATGTGTCGCCGTGTGACTTCTTCCATCACCTTCCATTCCCCCTCCTCTCCCGAACTCTGCTTCTCCTGATTTGAGTACAAGCTGCCGTCCAGTGCTCACCTCCATTGCTGTGGTCTTCTGTTTTTCAACACTTGGTGTCTTTGCGCTCTCCAGCAGTGACATATAAAGGAAAATGACAGTTTTTTCATTCTTCTTTATTCTAAATGGACCCTACTCTGTCCAAGAACTGATTTGCTTTTCCTTATGTCTAGATGAATAAGAAGTTCCAGATGCTCTGGTGCAAGTTTGTGATACCTTGTGTTTATGAGAAGCGTTGATCCCATTATGTAGCCAGAAACTGCATTGCACTAAGTACATATGCTTAATTAATTTAAATTTCTTATGATTTAATTTAAATTTGTTATGACAAAAGACAATTATGCTTCAGAATGTAGAAGGAAAAAGTCCATGTCTGGCTCGCTATCATGGTGCTGCTGCAAGAGCCTTGAGTTTCCCTTGACTTTTCCAGTGCCTGGCTCAGCACAAGTTTCTGAGAGACACAGGTTTCTCCATTTCCACCCACCCGGAAGCTGATCCTGTGTCTCCTAATGGGTACACGCTCTCCACGTCCCTTGATTACCACAGCTTCCCCGCTGCACCCTCCTCCAGGTGGGTTTGTAGCAGAGTGATTTGTTGAGTTGTCTTTCTACACGCAGATGCCCCAGGACGTCTTCACTGAGGGTTTCTGAAGAGTTCCATAAAGCACATTTGACCCAAGTTCTGCCGGTGCAGCACTGATGTGACTTCTCTCTCTCCCTTACAGCCGTGGCTGTATCCTCTTCAATTATTTTGGGAATTCAAGACATTTCCCTGAGTGCTTAATCTCAGACTTGAGGTTAGGATTGAATGTTATATTTTATCATAGTGTATTATGCAGGACAACAGTAAAGCTTATGTTGATTTTTGTATTATTTTATTTATGCTATTAGTTTCTGTATTGCACTTGTATTACATGCTAATTTATAGTTACATGTTTATTTTTATTGATGTACTATTTAAGCCTCAAAATATCCATCATTAACAGAATAAGACAATAGGCATGAAATGAGAATATAAAACCCACATCTGCAGGAAGACAAACAGTACTTTAGTCCACTGAGGTGACTGAATATGAGTGAAGTCCCACCGTAAACGCCAACTACTTTTCTGACAAGGTAACTTTAATAATCCAGGAGTGTAAATTTTGACTGCCAAAAGATCATTTTTTATTAACTTCCTTGCCAGCGCAGGCATTGTATGTCTAAATGACCCTATAAAATATTATAACATTCTCTTTTGGGCTAATATCACTTAGGAGTATCGACAACAATACTTTATATTTAGGTCTGGCTGAACTGTACCTAAGGAATTTGAAAAGATTTTCCTTCCAACACGGAATTGTCCAGCCCACATCTCAGTTGCCCATTTTCCGGGTTCAGGGAAGGGTAGGGGAAAGGTAATAAGGGAAAAGAAAAAAATACGAGAAAATGAAAAAAATGGAAATAAAGTGGTTGTAAATGGGGAGGCGAAGAGGGGGTGAAGAGAGGGCAGGGACAAGGGGAAAAAATGAGAACGAAGACCTGTCATGTAAAGGTACAAGATCCCAATAATGAATGTAACTGTTCCGGATACCTAAAATGTACCAATAAACTCAATGAGAGAGAGGGGGAAAAAGAAAAAGAACTAGAAAGAGCAGATCTGGGGGCCGCTCCCTGGAGGCGCGCCTTCCCTGGGCGGTACCGGCCAGCACCTGTCCTGGCCCATGGAAACTACAGCACCCGGAATGCACCGCGGGGACGCCGCTGAGGAGGAACCGAGGAGAGCGCAGAATTAGCAGTTTCCACGGAGACGCCAAGGGGGCAGGACTTCCGGTGCCTTCTTTGTGGCGGCCCCGGTGGCTTCCCTCAACTTCCGGCCTTAGGCTCGGGGCGCGGGTTTGGTGTCCGTGGGCCTGGAACCTCAAGGCAAGAGCGGCCGTCGTTCCCCGCTCGGAGGCGG